CTGCATAGATGCAAACTACATTTTGTTGCTTTGCACTTGTGAAAGTGTGATGACAATAAAGTTGAATTCTATTATTTTCTATTCTATTCCAACCAGGCTCAGTGTGAGCGGCCATCTGCTGAGGCCGACTGGGGTTCAAGGAGACAGAAGCAGACATAGAAAAGGGACATAGAAGCCCTGATCTATAAACACATTCTATGTTAGCAAAGCTAACAGTAGAGGCGGCTCTGTCTGGGATAGAAACGTTTAATCAGACGAGCTCTGAGGCGTCAGAGAGCAGATGAAGCGGTGTTGTGGTGAAATTCGTCACCTCTCACAGTGTCTGCCTTCGTATCCGGTCAGGCAGGCGGTGCAGCGGTAATCGGCGCCCTCTGCTTCACAGCTGGGACTGAAACTGGAGATATGAGCTGTTAAACACTGACAGAAGGACTCGGCAGACAGCTGAAGGGACAGCTGCAGTTCACCTGTTGCTCAGTAGGGGGCAGGCACACAGGGAACATTCGCTTGCAGAGCCGCTGATGTTTCCATAGTAACCCGGAGCACAGACGTTGCATTGCGGCCCGCTGGTATGATGCTGACAGTCCTGAGGAAAGATCAGCTCGCTTCAATATTGGAGCACCGGGGGGCGCTGAACCTGAAACCGAGTCCACCTGGACTCGGAGCTTACCTGACAGTCTCCGGTCTCTGGGTCACAACTGGAACTATGGTTGTTGCAGCGACACGGAACACAGGGACGCACCAACATGGTCTTCAGACTCTGAGGAGGGAGCTCAGACAGGGGCTGCCGGAAAAAACCCACCGCACACTCCTGTAGACGAGTCAGAGAGGAACGAGTCAGAGAGGAACGAGTCAGAGAGGNTGTTCTATTCTATTCTATTCTATTCTATTCTATTATACTCTATTCTATTCTACACTGTTCTATTCTATTCTACACTGTTCTATTCTATTCTATTCTATCCTGTTCTACTCCATAGACTCCATCCAGTCTGGTTCTGCAGGACGTCTCTCTGATCTTCTCGTTTATTTCGATGTTTAATTTCTTTATTAAATCTATTTCCTGCTCTGTGGAAATCGAAGCTGATTCTAGTTTTCTGACATCCTGTGGGTGTTTTTACCCTGAATGCTGTCTTGAAGGCTGCTGACCCTCCCCAGCAGCAGCTGGCTGTGGGTGCAGCTCTGGTTGGTGGAGATGTGAAGATCCATCAGGCTGTCAGACAGACGCGTCACCTGACCAATCAGCAGACAGGAAAGATAAAACAGCAGGAATGGATCACAGAGCTGTTAAAGGTCAGGGTGACCATCAGAGGGGCGTCCCACCAGACTCCCTGAAACCAGCATCTCCTTCCTGAAGATCTAAATGAGGTGAGTCTACCTGCTGCTGCGCTGCGCTGAGGTCAGAGGTCAGGTGCTTCACCTCCTGGTCCAAAGCAGACAGGTGTGAAGCTACGGCTCTGTCTGAGGAGATCCGGGCCTGGAACCAGAGCTCAGGTCAGAACAGCAGCCATGTTGAACATCAGGAGGAGACGCTCCGTCGCTCACCTTCAGCACTTTGCTCTGATTCTCCAGCGGCACCAGCTGCCAGTGAGGCGCCATGGCGACGGCGCTCAGGTTGACAGACAGGAAGTAGCTGCTGAGTGTTTCCAGGTCGTCCAGCAGAACGCCGGTGCAGCCATCGTCACAAGCTTTGAGAAACAGGCGTGAGGCGGCCGCAGTGACATCAGCAACATAACCTGAGCGTATGCATGGGGGGGCGGGACTTACGGACGCACTCTTCCTGCTGCAGGACGTGGCGCTCCTCACACTGGTCACATGACTGACCTCTGACCCCTGGCTTACACTCACACTGTCCGGTGACATCATCACACCCCCGATGCAGGGAGCCCCACCCGCTGCAGCCGCAGAGCGAGCAAGCCCCACCTGGCGAGGATGGGTTTCCATGGTAACCAGCTGAACACCTGCACCACAGAAGCACATGTGAGGTCAGCACAGGTGAGATAACTGCTCCAAAAATAAATACGCATACAATTAATGACCCCCAAAAATACAATAAATAAATAAATGTAGGTAGAAATTAAATCATACAGTGAGACATAAATGTATATATATCTTTTAATTAGCTTTGTTTATTTGCTTTTGTTATAATTACCTTATTTATTTATTGTCCATTATAGTCTTCAGCTTTATTTAATTATTATTTATTTCTTTAAGTATTTATTGTTGTGCATGTTCTAATATCTTTGTCTGTTTTATTCTTCCTATTTCTTTCTTCCTGTTGTTTTTGCGTTTCTGCCTCATTATGCAAATTAGGAGGGGGCGGGTCTTAGAGGGTCACCTTCTGCCCATTGGTCGGTTAGCCGTTGCTAAATGTCTCAGCTCACTGACCAATGGGTAGCCATGTTTGTTGTGTCTGTGATAGTCAGTGCAGACACATGAAAATAAGTA